TGCAAATGCTATGTAAATAGGTGTTATACTGTATTGTTTAGGGAATCATGACAAAAAAAAGAGTCTCCATCGTAGGCCTGACTACGTAGTACACATTGGCAACCACCGGGATAGTTCTGTGATTCGGGGGCCAGCGTGGGACCGGCAAGGGAGGCCGGGCCACGGGCAGATGGGCCACGCGGCAGGCCTCTGACCAGGCTCCGCGTGGGGCAGCAGGTGCAGTCGGCGCGGACGGCGTGCTGGGCCGGGTGCCCCAGAGCGTGGTGGACGACGAGGACTGCGGCCTGCGGAGCACCCTGGAGGCGTCTCTGGAGCTGCGAGGCCTGGGTCGCGTGGCCGACAACGCCCAGCAGCAGTACGTGCGCTCACGGCCCGCGCCCTCTCCAGAGTCCATCAAGCGGGCCAAGGAGCTGGACTTCGCGGGGCTGGGCCTGCACCCCCTCTTCAGTGAGTGCCCATGAAGGGCAGGGGCGGCGCGCAAGCCCTGCAGAGTTGAGCCCCGGCCTCACACCTCCGTCCCCGCCAGGCTCGCGCTTCGAGGAGAAGGAGCTGCAGCGGCTGAGGCTGGTGGACAGCATCAAGCAGTACCGCGCACGCACAGTGAGTGAGGGCGGGGCGCCGGCGCCGCGGGGCGGGGTTTCCCCCAGCTCTGTTAGCCTGTGCACAGGCGGCCTTGTTCTGGAGCCGCCCCTGCTGTCCACCGCGGGTCCCTGGATCCCCGTATCCCCGTGTGGAAGCTTTCCTTCCCACTTCCCAGTGCTGGGCTGAGGCTGGCAGGGGCAGTGACAGGCCCTGGGCCGGTTAGAGGCCCGAGGAGCCGGCTTCCCCCTGAGCACCCCACCTTGTACTAGCGGGTGCGCACTAGAGCAGGGAGACCCGCCCAGGAGTGGGCGAGCCTGCCCGGCAACCCGCCCAGGAACAGGAGCTGGAGTTTCCTGGCCAAGAGCACTGGCTTCAGAGCCAGGCGGCCTTGGGCTGACGTCCCCGCTGTGTGACCTTGGGCAGGTTACCTGCCCTCTCTGGGGCGCCCTTCCTGACTGAAATGCAGATAATGAGAGCACCCACCTGGGGGTGGCAGGGACTTGGGGAGGAATGCCATGGAGAGCCGCCCACCCGGCTGGTGAAGGTGGAACGGGGGAGGAGAGCACCCACCTGGGGGTGGCAGGGACCTGGGGAGGAATGCCATGGAGAGCCGCCCACCAGGCTGGTGAAGGTGGAACGGGGGAGGAGAGCACCCACCTGGGGGTGGCAGGGACTTGGGGAGGAATGCCATGGAGAGCCGCCCACCAGGCTGGTGAAGGTGGAACTGGGGAGGAGAGGCCAGTGGGTGGACTCGGACGTCACCTCCACAGACCATCTTTGAGATCAACGCCTCCAGCCGGGACCCGAGCAGCCAGGTGATGCGTGCCAAGCGGCAGAAGGACCGCAAGGCCATCACCAGCTTCCAGCAGGGCCGTCAGGAGCGTCAGGGGAGCCTGGCCAGCCCAGCCCCCAGCTGCCCAGCGCCACAGCAGGCGCAGCCTGAGGAGGAGGAGGAGGCGGCGGAGGGAGAGAGTGTGGAGGTACAGGCCCCACCTGGGGACCCTGGAGTCGGCCTGGGGTTGGGGCAAGGGGTGGTCAAGACCCAGCAGCCATGGGACTGTCCTCAGGGCTTTGCGCAGTCACTGGGGTGGATTCAGTGATTCCGGCCGATGCCTGACACGTGGAAATCAGTGACTCAGCCTCCGCCTGTAGAATGAGGTTGTGGGACTCGTCCCCCACCCTCTCCTGAACCCTGGGACCAGACATGTTTTGGGATTCAGAATCTTTAGGGTGGGTGCAGTGTGTGTGACATAGCACCTCAGTGGGGTCTGGGTGTCACCACCATCAGATGCATTGGAGGTTCCACCACAAACCTGCCGGTCCCCACACCGAGGGGACAGACACCACCTAGATAGCCCCTCCCCCTTCAGCTCTGGTCGGCTTCTGCCACCAAGTGAATTTCAGGGACGTCTGTTTGCACAGCGCTGTGGGCCAGACCCTGCGGCCGCGTGGCTGGGGCCTGCTCCTTGGCTTGCGGGGCACACGCAGCACAGCACGTGACGGGTCCCACTGGTGCCCGTGTCCTTGTCATCACCACGACAGCAGGCTGCGCCTGAGGTCTGGGGCAGGCGGGAAGGGGCAGAGCAGGGCCCTTGGCATCAGCGAGGCATGACATGGGCAGCGTCAGATGCTGGGCTTAAGCGCCAGAGGCAAGACCGGGACCACAGGTGTCCTGTTCGCCTGGCGGGCGAGGTCCTGGCCTGCTCGCCCACCCCTTACATTTGATTTGGACGGGGGTTCAGTAGCCAAAACGTAACAGTTGAAAATCCTGGACTAGTCCCTAACACATAGAGAAGGCCAGGCCCAGACGGGCAGGATCTCGCCTTGGTCACACAGCCCGGGGGACCAAGCTGGCTCTGGAATGTGGGTCCCTCCCTGGTTGGCCTTTCCGCCTCGGCCCCCCAACCCGTCTTGGCTCGGCTGGTGCTTGAGTTGGGGTTGTGCTGCACGTGCAGAAAAAATGGGGGGCTACATGGCAACACCTAGCGGGACTGGTGTTGGAGGCATGTGGGTTCCCAGGGGCTGCAGGTGTGACTGGGCCTCGGTCTGCCAGGACGTCTTCACAGAGGTCATGGGCCGGAAGCGGCAGCAGCCAGGACCTGATCGTGGAGCCAAGAGGCGGAGGGAAGAGGCCCGGCAGCGGGACCAGGATTTCTATGTCCCCTATCGGCCCAAGGACTTCGACAGCGAACGGGGGTGAGCAGCCAGCCGGGGGTGGGGGGGTGGGGGTGTATGTGGCAGGTGGGGCCTAACGGGCCCCCATCAACCCTGTGTGTCTCCCACTCTCCCTTTGCAGCCTGAGCATTGGTGGGAACGGGGTGAGCAGCCAGCCGGGGGATGGGGGAGTGGGGGTGTATGTGGCAGGTGGGGCTAACGGGCCCCCATCAACCCTGTGTGTCTCCCACTCTCCCTTTGCAGCCTGAGCATTGGTGAGAACGGGGGTGCCTTCGAGCAGCAGGTAGCTGGTGCTGTCCTGGATCTGATGGGGGACGAGGCCCAGAACCTGACCAGGGGCCGGCAGCAGCTCAAGTGGTGAGTGAGCTCGTCAGCACAGCCCTTCCGTGCCCGCCTGGCTGCCACGTGTCCCACACAGCTGGCATGTGACCCCTGCCTGTCCTGACTCCCCTTGGATCCCTAGAGCAGGAAATACACCACCCCCACCCTCTCAGTGACTCTCCCCCATTGTCTCCATTGATGAACCCCACCCCACCCCCATTCAGAGCCAGGAGGCAGCAGAGTGGGGGTTGGGAACCCTATCCTTGACCTAGGCTCCCCAGTTCCCGATGACCCCCGCCCTGCCTTTGAGACCTGCACCACCAGGGAAAGGTGAGGCGGGGCAGGGGACAGGCCTTGATTGAGCACCTACTGCATGCCAGGCATAGCCATGCTGCCTTTCTGGAATCCAGCACCCCAGTGAGCGGGTAGGGGAGGAAACAGGCCTCGGGAGCAGGCCACCTCTGTCCACGGCAGCCCACCCAGCTTGCTCTCCTGCAGGGACCGGAAGAAGAAGCGTTTTGTGGGACAGTCAGGACAGGAGGACAAGAAGAAGATCAAGACAGAAAGTGGTCGCTACATCAGCAGCTCCTACAAGAGGGACCTGTATCCTGAGGGGCGGGGCTAAGTGGCTTCTGCCCACACCTATTGGGGTGGGACCAAACTCCTGTTCTGGAGGGGCCGCTGAGGGCCTTTACCCGGATCTCCTGTAGGCGGGGCCTCCTCCCCGCCCAGGGTTCCCAGGGCTTCAGGATTCCCATCAGCAGCCTCCTTGACACAGCTTCCCAGCTACCAGAAGTGGAAGCAGAAACAGAAAATCGATGACCGCGACTCTGAGGAGGAAGGGGCATCGAACCGGCGAGGCCCAGAGCGAAGAGGTTGGAAGCAGGGCCGAGGCCAAGGTAGGGTGTACAGGGGGTACCTGAACACGCAGGCTGGCAAGGGGTACACTTAGGAGGCTGTTACTGTAGGCTAGGCCTTGTTCTGAGCATTTGACACATGTTCATTCACTGGCTCGTTAGGACCCCTGAGGTAGGTAGGTACTATTATTCGTAGTTCACTGAGGGGGAAACTGAGGCACAGAGAAGGTAAGTGACTTGCCCAGGGTCTGAGAGACCGCAGCTGGGATTTGAACCCCGGCAGTTCTGGCTCGAGGTTCCAAGCTGTCAACCCATACAGTAGCCTGCTTAAGCTTTATTAAGCACTGCTGTGTGGGAGTGGGGGCAGGGGAGCAGTCTGGAGGCTGTGGGAGGAGGGGACAGGGGAGTTGACCCAAAGGCTGAGCTCCCTGGACCCCTGTCCCGGCAGGTGCCTCCCAGCCGCGCCCGCCAGGCGCCCCCGCAGGCCGTGTGCGCTCAGAGCTCAAGACCAAGCAGCAGATCCTGAAGCAGAGGCGCCAAGCCCAGAAGATGCGCTTCCTGCAGCGTGGGGGCCTCAGGCAGCTTTCTGCCCGCAGCCGGCGCCACGCCCGGGAGCTGCAGCAGGGCGCCTTCGGCCGGGGCGCCCACGCCAAGAAGGGCAAGATGAGGAAGAGGATGTAAAGAAGATGACCCAGCCCTGTAGCTCCTCAGCCGGTCCAAGTGTGAACATCCGCGAATGCTCCTTGGGTACTGCTGTGTGCCCGGCGCTATGCTGGGCATTTGGGGAGCTCTCTGCAGAACCATCATCCCTGAAAAAGGAGTGCTGTATGGTCATAGAGGGGCAGCAGCTGCCTCTGCCGGAGACGGGGACATTTGCGCAAGGTCTTGAAGAGTGCCTAGGAGTTTGCCAGCAAAGCCAGGTAGGCCAAGGCCTGAATTGGCAACTCGGCTCCTGTTGCTTTTGTGTGCTCTGGGTTCAGAGGTGGTGGCCACACGGGCCTGAGCCATGAGTGCCTAAGGCCCAGTGATGTATTTTTAATGTAATAAACCTTTATTGAGCACCTCTGGTGGAGCAGGAGTCCAGTCCACTGGAGTTGGAGGGACAGAGCAGATGCTAAAGGCCCAGCTGGTGTGGGAGCTGGGAGCATGTGGGCAGTCCTGTGTGATCCCCCCGGGACCCCCGAGGGTGCATTCTATTAGTGTCCCCATTTTGTCGATGAGGAAAATGGGGCTCAAGTATGAGTTAGGTGCCTGAGGTGGGAGAACCCCAAACCTGGCCTTCTGTCCCCTTCCTCCTGCCAGGCCAGCCTCGCAGCTGGGAGTGACGGCTGGAGGGCCCGGACGAGGGTCTGGGGGCAGAGGGCACAGCTGCTCCTCCCTGGCTGTGACGAGGTTGACACTGCCCACCACACACAAGAGGTCAGAACCTGGCCTGGCCTCTGTCCTGCTGGAAGGCCTTGCTCCTCGGCCCCAGCTGGGTCCTGGGAAGGTCAAGGGCAGCCCCCAGCAGCTGGATTACTGAGTGCCAGTCCATAGTGGAGGAGCCTTTGTGAGCGGGTGTCCAATGAGCAGGTATCTGCTCCTGACACCCTCTTCTGGTCCTATTGATTTAACAAACACTCATCTAGAATCCACACCAGGTCCCCTGCAAGCACCCGACCAATACCTGCTTGTTTAATGCCCCCAACGGCCTGGAGGAAGGACCTGGCCCCAGGCCAGGTGGTGGATGCGGGTTGGGTGCCCCCTGTAGGCCATGTGTTTGAGTGCTTGCTGTGTGCCTTTATGTCCCGCCCCAGTCTGCATGGGCACAGCCCTCCCATCTTCCGGTGAGAGCCACTCTGCCCCATCCCACAGGAAAAGTGCACCTTCTCTCGGGAGGAGAGGTCCCTCAGGGGCCCCCTCCCCCACTGCTCACCTGGGTCAGGCTAGGGGGCCGGGGCCTCAGGCTCACCCTGGGGAAGGCTGGCCAGCATGGCAGAGAGATCCAGGATGAACAGCTTCACCTGGGGGTCCCCAACACAGCCCAAGTCACATCTCAGCCCCTGAGTGTCCAATCCCCACCCCCCAGTGCATGGGATGCCGTGAGGTGGGGTCGGTGGAGACCCCTGTGAAAGAGCAATGCTGAGACTCCCGGTCAGATGGCGGGTTGGTAAACACGGTGCTCACCTCCCACAACCACATCAAAATCACAACTAAACTACAGAACCACCGTCATTCAGAACCGCCTGAAATCGAGCTGAGTGGAAGTCCTGCAACTACGAATTTAGAGAAGAAGCCACATGGAGACTGGTAGGAGGGGCAGAGGTGCTGATGGGCTGGTCCCACACCCACATGTAGTGGATAAAAATCAGGAGGGACACCTTGGCTGTGACGATGCTCCCTGGAGAGCGAGGGGTCCCCGTCCCACACCAGGTCCCTCAGCTTAGGGCTCCAGTACCAGGAAGAGAATCCCCATCACTTCTGGCTGTAAAGACCAGCAGGGAGTCCCAGGCAGCTCCTCCTAAAGAACCCATGCACAGACTTACTTGGACCAGCTCCCTCTGGGCTCCAGCATGTGGGAAGCAGCTTGGAAGGCACCAGAGACATACACGGAAGAACTGAGTTGTTTGACATCGGGCCGAGAGCTGGAGGGGCAGCTTTTTCCCAGATAGACATGCTGGCGGAGACCATTTAACCTGGCTCACACTGTTTGCCCCGCCCTGGTGATTTCCTGAGGCCCCTCCCCACCCAACTTTTGGGCCCACCCAAGCTGCTTCGGATTTTCCTAAAATTTCTCAAACAAGCAGCATCTGGCCTCAGTGAGCCCCATACCTCTCACTAAGTGGCCCCAGGCCCGGCACTGGCAGCAGAGGCCTTGGTTCATAGCTTGACCCTGCCTGGGCACCTCCAAGCCCAGCACAAGAAGCAGCCATCCGCAGATAGCTGCTTATGCCTGGTGGCCCTGGGGAGAACATAGGCAGTGTCTCACCCTGGCCTGTGCCTCCCAGGAGGCCCCAGAGCCAACACATGCAGTGGACAGCTTCAGACCATGTCGAAGCATCACCACCCAACCACCTCCACAAGTGACACACTCAAGGAGTGGACTTAGTGGGTACCAGAGCACTGCTGAAGTAAGTCTTGCTCTGTGAGGTGGGCCCCTGCACAGCTGATCCTCCAAGGCAGTCAGAGGTCAGTGGTCAATGGGAACAACCAGTCCTTATAGCTAATCAGCCTGAGTAAATGCCTCCCATTGATGTGCCAACAGCAATCAAGACTCAATAAAAAACAGGATGGTATATAGGACAGTTACTACAATAAACTTCCCTACCAAGCCTAGGAGACACGTAGCAGCTCTACCTAATACATAGAAACAAACAGGAAGGCAGCTAAAATGAGTAGACAAAGAAACATGTCCCAGATGAAAGAGCAGAACAAAACTCCAGGAAAAGAACTAAATGAAATGAAGATAAGCAATCTAACAGATGCAGAGTTCAAGACACTGGTATTAAGGATGCTTAAGGAACTTACTGAAGACCTCAAAGGCATAATAAAGGACCAGTCAGAAATGAAGGATGCACTAACTGAAATCAAGAATAATTTACAGGGAATGAATAGTAGAGTAGGTAAAGCCAAGAATTAAACCATCAATTTGGAATATAAGGAAGCAGAAAATACCCACTCAGCCCTGGCCAGTTTGGCTCCGTGGTAGAGCGTTGGCCCGCGGACCGATGAGTCACAGGTTGGATTCTGGTCAAAGGCATGTACCTTGGTTGTGGTTTGTCCACGGCCCTGGTTGGGGTCATGTGGGAGGCAGCCAATCGATGTGTCCCTCTCACATTGGTGTTTCTCTCCTCTCTCCCTCCCACTCTATCTGAAGATAAATGGAAAAATGTCCTAGGGTGAAGATTAAAAACAAACAAAACACCCAATCAGAACAGCAAAGAGAAGAAAGAATCCAAAAAAAGGAGGATAGTGTAAGGAGCCTCTGGGACAACTTCAAGTATACCAACATTCACATCATGGGGGTGCCAGAAGGAGAAGAGAGAAAAAAGGAAAACCTGTTTGAAAAAATAGTGACACTCCCCAGGGCCCTGCGAAGGAGTATGATGACCACAGTCCTGGGTGGCTGCAACTCAGCAAAAGCTCTGAGCACCCTCCAAATCCCAGGTGTCTCCACACAGTTCCACTCCAGTCTGCCCTCCCTCTGCTGGAGCTCAAGCATCTTCTCACATGTGAAACTCTCAGTTATGGATTTGATGCATAAAATTGAAAGATTTCTTGGATGTAATCTAAGAAACGCCACATACTAAATTCAAGTCCATGATGTTTCAGAATATATTGTTTTCGATGAGAAAGAGAGAAAGTGCCTCTCATTCATTTTGGAATTTGTATGAATAAAAATAAAACCACTTCTATTTTCTTAATCCAGTGCAAAAAAAAAAAAAAAGAAAGAAAAAATAGTGACAGAAAACTTCCCTAACTTGGTGAAGGTAACAAACACACAAGTCCAGAAGCACAGAGAGTCCCAAACAAGATGAAGCCCACACCAAGACACATCATCAAAATGCAAAAGGTTAAAGACAAAGAATCTTAAAAGCAGCAAGAGAAAAGCAATTAGTTACCTACAAAGGAGCTCCCATAAGACTGTCAACTGACTTCTCAAAAGACACTTTGCAGGCCTGAAGGGAGTGGCAAGAAATATTCAAAGTGATGAAAAGCTAGGACCTACAACTAAGATTACACTATCCTGCAAAGCTATCATTTTGAATCAGTGCGCATATAAAGAGCCTCCCAGACAAGAAAAAGCTAAAGGAGTTCATCACCACCAAACCAGTATTATATGAAGAGTTGAAGGGACCTCTTGAAGAAGATCGAAAGTATGAACAATAAAATGGCAATAAGTACCTATCAATCAACAATTGAATCTACAAACCAAATGAACAAGCAGAACAGAACAGACTCAGATACAGAGAATTTTTGTTGGTTGCCAGATGGGAGAAAGGATGTGGAGATGGGCAAAATAGGTGAAAGGATTAAGAAGTACACATTGGTTGTTAGACAGGAATTTCAGAGGGAAGAAAGGGAGGCGGCCAAAGAACATGTATGCATAACCAATGGACACATAACAGTGTGGGAAGGCAGGAGGGGGGCGGGAGTGGGGAGGACAGAGTCAGTGGGGAAAAGGGGAGAGGACATCTGTAGTACTTTCAACAATAAAGATAAATTTTTTTAAAAAGAGTGACCGACGAGCGTGGCTCAGTGGACTGAGCTTCAGTTCACGCACCAACAGGTCACTGGTTCTATTCCCGGCCAGGGCTCATGCCCGGGTTGCGGGCTCAATCCCCAGTATGGGGCGTGCAGGAGGCAGCCTACTGATGTTTCTCTCACCGATGTTTCTATCTCTCTCTCCATCTCCCTTCCTCTCTCTCTAAAAGAGCAATAAAAAATATATTTTGAAGAGAAGAAAAGCAGAGCAATGCTGGTGATTCCCAGGGCCAGCGACCTGGCCTAAACTGCTCCGGGTTCTTAAAGCCTCAGTCTGCCTCCCAGACAATTTCTGAGCAGATGCCTTCACAGTTTGCTAGCTGGCTATCACCTGTATTGTAATTAAATTCATATTTTCACTTACTTCAACTTATTTTTTTCCTTTTAATTGGATCAGTCATATTCATTGGCATATGATTTACTCTCATCTTCTCCATGGGTGGCCATCCTTTATTTGGTTTTAATTAACTTACTTATTGATACGAGCTTAATGAGCACCCCTGGGTCCACTGGCAAGAACCAGAACACGATGGCAAACTTTCCCCTGGGCTCTCCCTTGGCATTTTTCACTGAAATAAACATCTGAGAAGGAAAATACAGCTCCAGCAAAAATGGAAAAATTGTAAGTCACCCTGTCATGAGTCAGGGTAACAAAAAATAACGACAACAAAAACAAAACTGTGTTGCTGAATTCAGCCAGCTGCTGTTGCCGATGGGGTGAGTCCCAGGCCTGGAGACCAGGGAGCTGTACGGGGGTGGGAGGCCTCGTCACCCCCTGTCTTGGGATCGGAGAGTTGGTTGAAAAGGGACCAGCTTTTGCTGTTACTGCATATCAAGCCACCGTCCCACCTAGTGTCACCTGGGTGTGGACCTTGGTATCCGAGCCACACTTGGGAAAGCAGAGGTCCACAGAAATCTACCCAGCTCAGGATGCGGCACAAAGGTGGGCTCTGGCAACACAGTTCCTGCCATTTGGTTGGGATCCTGGCCATTGGGCGCAGGGCAGGGTGGGATGAGTGGGGGGAAAGAGGGTGCCTCCCTTTGTTTTCCCCACTTCTCAAATGGCTCTTGCTTTGGGACACCCCCCACCCCAAAACAAGTGTCTCCAAAGTCAGAAACCCCCCTCCTTTGTAAGTCCTGCAAACTTGAATGAATAGAAAAACGGTGCTTGGTCCAGTGATACTTGTGATGCCACTGTGCAGACAGACCACTGCTCCACCCCCCTCACCCGGGCGAGGGAAGCCCAGGCCTGTCTGGTTAAATAAAAGTGAGTCTTGACCTGGGTTTTTATTATGTCACTTGTTTGACTCAGCATGAATGTACGGAGTCTCTCAGCACACACCCTGGCCCTCCTGCATAAGTAGGACTCTGAGATCCAGAGGGGCGTGACTTCCTCTGGCCACAGCCCACGACTGTCAGAGCCAAGACCATCCCAGGGGGCCTAGGCGGCCATCGAGCCCATAACTGTGGTGCTTGGAGCATGACCTCTGATCACAGAGGGTCATGCTTAACCCAGAGAAGTGAGATTTCAGGCATCGTGATGTCCCTAAGATTTGTGAACTGGAGGTGACAACAGGGGCCCTCACCTGCTCCAGCTGCCCCTCGGTGTCCTCGATGTCCAGGGCAGGCGACTGCCTCCTATGCTGGCACACTAACTGGAACAGGTTGAGCACTGACATCCTAGTGTGTCCCAGGAGCAGGGTCTTCTCAGCTGCCGTGTTCTGGATCTGAACCCATTTGGATTCCTGGAGAACGCCCCGCCCATTCCGGATTAAGGTGTGATGGCTGGAGGAGGGCGGGGCCTTGTTCCCATTTTCTTCCCACCAGCCGGGTAACGGTGGGCGTTCTCCCGGAGAGGAGGACAGGCACGGTGTCAGGTACGGCAGGACTGGCCTCCTGTGCCCTGAAGTGCTTTCTGATGCCGCAAAGCTGCGCTTGAATGCCACCGCCCCTCTGGAATAAGCATCGACCCATCTGTTCTTATCAACCCCAGCATTCTATCCCGGGGTGGAAGGCTGGGGTCCCGGCGCCCACCGGCCGTACCCAGTGCAGTGTGCGCTCCCGCGCCGCCTCCAGGCGCTCCAGCAGCTGCGCTCGCTGCTGGCCCTGCTGGAGCAGCTCGTCCTGCCAGGTGTCCCGCAGCTGCTGCAGCCGCGCACGCGCCTCCTCCAGCTCCGCCGACCGCTGGCGCTCCGTGAGCCTGAGCGCGGCCAGCGTGTCCGCTAGGGTATGGAAGCGCTCCACCAGCTCGGGGATCTCCTGGGTCTGGGATGGGGTTCACATGGGGACTCACCGGGCCTGCAGCCCCTCCCTCCCCATGCCACCTGGCTCTCCAGCGCCTCCTCAGCCTACCGGTGAAATGGGGACATCACACAGCCCCTGCCCCTGAAGTGGAGATTACCCCGTTCCTCCCCATTAAGCCTACTTAAGCTCACTGCCTGTGATTAATACTAATTCATTGTTAAATTCAACTAATATTTACTGAGTGCCTGGATCTAACCCGCTCCGCCTGCTTGTGTGTCCTTGAGTAAGAGTTGCCTTTCTGAATCTCGATTTCCCCATCTGTAAAGTGGGGTTGACGGGAACAGGGCCACTTCACTGGGCCTTGGGGAGAATGCAAAAGCAAAGCGTGTCCTGGCATACAGCTGGTACTCAGTAAGTGGTGATTCCTGGTATGCAATCTGCGCTCCAGTAGTGCACCCTTCCAAAGCCGTCCCTGGGGCCACCCAGCGTTGCACAGTGGCGCTGAGCCCCGAAATTTCCTGCAGGGCACTCACCTCGGGCAGCTGCTCCAGCACTTGCTCCAGCAGGCGCGCGCAGGGCTCCAGGCGCGGCAGCCGGCGCTGCAGCCGCGCGCGCTCCCGCTGCAGCTCCTCCAGCCGGGCTCGAAGCCGCAGCGCCTCGGCCTCCTGGCGGCGGGCCCGCTGTCCCTCCTCTGCCGCCCTCCGCATCGCGCGGCTGCGTCGGGCCTCGGTGTCCTGCGGAGGAGAAACGGAAAGGAGGCGAGGACCCGCAGGACTCGGGAGCCGGCAGAGCGCGCTGCCTCCACCCCGCTCCAGCATGAGCATGTTGAGCCACGGGTTGCAAACAGATGGCCCGTGGGCCACACTCAGCCAGACTCTGATTTCGGTCCCTCACTCCTCCCCACGGTTTTAAAAGACTTGGCTGCTTCAGGCAGCGCGTGTGTATTTCCCACCACTTCCCTTTGTATTATTACACCTATTTTTTTTTTTTAATCCTCAAACGAGGACATTTTTCCATTTTTTGTTCTGATAGAGCGGGAGGGAGAGAGAGGAAGAGAGGGAGAGAGAAACATCGATGTGAAGGGACACATCGAGTGGCTGCCACCCGCACGACCAACCAGGGCCGGGGACAAATTGCAACCGAGGTTACGTGCCCTTAGCGGGAACCGAACCCGGGTCTCTCTGTACGCAGGCCGACGCTCCAACCGCTGAGCCAAACCGGCCAGGGCAGTACACCCATTTTTTAAAATGTGTGTGACATGTCCGGCCCTACAGGATTGTGACTCTGTGACCCTGTGACCTGCCTCCCCCCCACCCCCCAGCGGGCTCCACCTACCTGCAATAACTTGTCAAAGCGGGCAAAGGACCCCTTAAGCTCCTGCTTCTTCTGTTCCAACTGTTCCCGGCGCCGCTTCAAGACTGCCATTGTGATCTGGAGCGCCTGGGGTTGAGAGTGGGTGTCTGGGTGTGTCTGGGGAACCACGTCTAGGTTTACACTTAACCTCTCTGGGCTGTTGTCCCTGACCTTGTTGCTGCACCCCTGCTCAAATCCACCCATGGCTCCCACCACCCCGAATGAAGCCCCAGTGCCCTCCCGCAGCCCCTGCACGTCCCTGTCCCTGCACTTTCCTCAGCCTGGCCTTGCACGGTCTTCGGCCCTCTGGCCGGCTGTGTTTTGTCCTTGCCCTTCAGCCGTTGTCTATGCTGTTTCTTCCTTCTCACATGGTCCCCCTTTGCTGGAGAAGCCAGCTTGCCCTTCAGTGATCCCTAAGACATCATTTCCTTCAGAAAGCCCTCCTTGAGCACCCCCTTGTGGAAACAGGGGCTTCCTCTGGGCTCCTACAGTCCCTCCTCAGTGCTCCCCCTCATAGCAGGCACTAGCTGGACACTGGTCTGTGTCCTTCTCTAGACTGGGAGCCCCATGAGGGCAGGGACCACGGTGAGACCTCTAGGTCCCAGGGCAGGACCCGGCACGTAGGAGCTCAGTGCACACTGATTTGCACCAACAAATGATCTCATTTGCTCCCCATTGGACCGGTGAGGAGAACAGGGCTCAGAGTGCTGAAATGACTTGTGTTAGACCTTGGCTCCATCATTTCCCATGATCCTGCTCACCGTCATTTTTTTTTTTTTTTTTTTGGCCTGGGGTTTCAAAATGTCTCAGGACCACAGTGGGGGCTCACCTCCTCCTGGGCCCGCAGGCCCTGGTCCGCATCCGCCAGCTCCTGCCTCTTCTCCAGGAGACACAGCAGTGGCGGGAGGCGGCCAGCATTCTGCTCGGGGATCTTCCTGGGGGGGCTCACGGAGGAGGTGGGGGTGAAGGAGACAAGAGTCAGGGGCCCCCAAACTCCTCCCTTGTGCCTGAAATCCCCCCATTAACCATCTACTGGCTGTTGAATTCTTCCTTCAGTCACCGAATAGTACTGAGCACCCAGGAAGGGCCAGGCACCCGTAGGCACCGGGACCGCCATGGGCAAGACAGACCAAACCCGGCCCTGCGGGCGCTGGCATCCTGGTGGGGCCGCAGGAAACAAAGCTAACAGACAATAATAAATAATGCCAGGACCGCCCTGGCCGGTTTGACTCAGCGGTTGGAGTGTCGGCCTGTGGACCAGAGTCTCAGGTTCAGTTCCGGTCAAGGGCACGGACCTGGGTTGCAGGTTCGATCCCCAAACCGGCCCCAGTCAGGGCATGTGTGGGAGCCAACCAGTTGATCTCTCTCTCTTCCCCCATCTCTTCCTCCCTTCCATTCTTTCTAAAAGTCAGTGGAAGAAAATATCCTCGGGTGAGGATTAGCAACAACAATAAAAGCAGTTTGCAGGCACAGGGGCAAGAGTTCATGGAAGAACATTTCTTCCCACTTGGGTTCAAACGAGGTCAGCTGGGGTGGGAATCAAGGAAAGGTCAGAAGCCTGGGCCATGGACCCAGCTCTGCTCCCAGGAGCCCGAGACCTTGGGGAAGTCCCGGGTTCTTTCTGAGTCTCGGCTGTTTCCTTCTGTGAAATGGGGACAATAATCTCCCACCATGAACAGTACGAGGAAGCCAGGATCCAGGGGTAGGGTAAAGGATGGGCCACCCCACCCACTCCTGCCCTCTTTCCGGCCCTCCCTGCCACCCTGTGCCACTCACGTAGGCAGCTTCTCTCGCAAGGCCAGTCGGAAATATTCCTCCCAGGACACGGCCATTCTCCTGGAGATTGCTCCGGCCTTCTTTCCACCGGGCCGGAGTTCTGTGGACGCCTAGGGGTCCTGGGGGTTCCTGGTGGAGGGGAGTGCCCACAGCGGTTCGGTACTCCCAGGAGGCAGCCACCAAGCAGGCCCTGGTTGCCCGGGCAACCACCGACACAACATTCCATTGCCTGGCTGAGGCCAGGGGAATCCACCCCGGAAGGGAGAGGGAGGGGGCTGAAGGGAGGGGAGCAGCCTCTGCCCCTTCCGGAGAAGGCTTCAACTCCCAATCTAAATTGGGGTGCCAGAGAGGACGGATCCCTTGGCCAAGAATTTACCCCTCTTGGTGACCCGTGTCTGGTCAAGTCTTCCTGGCTGGGTGGGACCGGGCCTCTCTAATGTGGTTCTATGCTCAGATGTCTGCTATTATTGGGCACCCACTGTTTGCCAGGTCTTGAGTGGGGTTCTTTACTCCCCAGCAAGGTGTCGAAGGCCTACTATGTTCTAGCCCCTTGAGGGTCCACTTCCTTTGCCGGGGGAGGGCTCCCCTGGCCACGTCTCAGGAGCCCCCAGCCTGGTTAGGGAGGCAAAGAGGCCTGGCTGGAGACCTGCTTGGAAGAGCCCCCCGACCTGGACTGGAGAATGGGGCAGGGGAGGAGCTCACATACTGGGGGCAGTTACTGTGGATCAGACACTGGGCTGAGCACGCTACAGGTAGTACCTGGTTTAGTCCTTAACACAGCACTGCGGGGCCCTGGCCAGTTTGGCTCAGCAGTTAAGCATCGGCCTGCGGACCAGAGGGTCCCGGGTTTGGTTCCCGGTCAGGGCACACGCCCGGGGTTGCATTCTCACTATTACCCCAATTTTTTTTTTTAATTTTTTTTTAAAAATATGTTTTTATTGATTTTTTTAGAGAGAGAGGAAGGGAGAGAGAGATAGGGGCAAGTACCACAAAAAAAAACAAAACAAAAAAAACACAGCGCTGCAGGGCGTGGTATCAGGGAAAAGTACTGAGAGTAAAATTACAGTTACAAACGGTCTTCCAGCCGGAAATGACCACACTAGCGTCTACACTAGCATCTTGTCATCTTTGCTTCTGATTATTTTATTTTTCTGCTTTAAATTATTTTTTTCATGTAAAAAGGCATTTTCTTTTTTAAGAATGTATTTTCTTATCGCAGGTAACACTATGTTAAAGAACTACCGTTACGCCCTGGCCGGTGTGGCTCAGTTGGTTGGGCGTTGTCCTGTGCACCAAAGGGTTGCCAGTTAGATTCCCGGTCAGGGCACACGCCCGGGGTTGCATTCTCACTATTACCCCTGTTTTTTTAAAAATATGTTCTTACTGATTTTTTAGAGAGAGAGGAAGGGAGAGAGAGATAGAAATATCGATATGAGAAACATCGATGGGCTTCCTCCTGCATACCCCCTACTGAGGATCAAGCCTGCAACTTGCACATGTGCCCTGACCGGGAATCAAACCGGGACCTCTCAGTCTATGGGATGTTGCTCAATCCACTGAGCCACACTGGCCGAGCTATTCCCCCTACATATATATATATATATATTTTTTATTCTCACCCAAGGACATTTTTGCACTTGTCTTCAGATAAAGCGGGAGGGAGAGAGGGAGGAAGAGAGAGAGAAACATCAATGTGAGAGAGACACATTGACTGGTTGCCACCCACATGACCCCAACCGGGGCCGGGGACAAACTGCAACCAAGGTACATGCCCCTAGCGGAACCAAACCTAGGACTTTCTGGTCCGCAGGTCAATGCTCTAACCACTAAGCAAACCGGCCAGGGCTATTACTCCTATTTTTAAAAAGACATTCTGATAGGAATGTTGTGATATTTCATTGTGGCTTGACTTTGCATTTCTCAGTGATGATGAACATCTTCTCCTGTATTATTTGCCATCTGTATATCCTCCTCAGCAAAATATCTGTTCATGTCTGTTGCCTGTGTTCTTACTGGAGGGCTCCCCACCGGCGCACCCCAGTGTTGAGACGTCTCTCTGGATATCCGTCTGCGTGCTCCAGGTAGCCTTCTGTCGGATACTTACGTTCTGCCCGTCTGTCGCTTCTCTTTGACCCTCTTCCTGTGGTCTTTTGCAAAGCGAGGTTTTACATGTTGATGAGGTCCAATTGGCCACCTTTTCCTTTACGGATCGTGCTTCTGGTGTCAAGTCTAAGTGGAATTTGAACTCAGGCCACCTGCCCTCTGGGTGTAGAGTCAGCCTTCTTCTTTTTCCCCCCTAAATCCTCATCCAAAGATATTTTCCATTTATCTTCAGATAGAGTGGGAGGGGGAGGGGGAGAGGGAGAGAGAGAGAGACATCGATGTGAGAGGGACACATCGACTGCTTGTCTCCTGCAGACCCCGACCAGGGCCGGGGACTGAACCGCAACTGAGGTACATGCCCTTGACCGGAATCAAACCTTGACTTTTAGGCCACAGACCCACACTCTAACCGCTGAGCAAACCGGCCAGGGCTAGAGTCAGCCTTCTTAACTGCAACACTCCAGATACAGCTGCGCCCTTCTTGGGCCTTCCCCTCCTCGGGTCCATTCCCTTACTTCCCTCCCCGGGGGTGCCATCATCTTGAAGCCAGTACGCATCCTTCCTGTCTTAGTTTCTGTTGTTGTACTCTGAGCCAGGCATTCATGGGGCTTGCGGGCTAAGGGTGGGGGGCTAGGTGAATCAAATCATCCTGAAAATATGTCACCCCACTCTGATAGGGTGAGGAGAGGTCTAGAGCACATGGAGGGGGCATGGAGGCCCCCTGACGTAGTGACATGTGAACCCAGACCTGAAGAAGGAGGAGGGGTGATTAGAGGACAGGGAGAGGGAGTATTTCAAGTAGAGAAAACAGTATGTGCAAAGGTCCTGAGGCAGGAGAGTGCCCCCCCAGAAGAGAACAACGGTCTGTAGGTTGGTGTGCAGAATTCAAGGATGATGGGGGTCAGTCAGGACTAGAGAGGGCCAAGGAGTGGCCACACCTGTGCTGTAAGTGACAGATGAGGGAGTTAGGTGACTCCTCCAAGGACAGGAGGCTGAGAAGCAATGGACGCTGGCATTTGTTTATAGAACTGCTCACCCATCCCTGCTCTGGAACTGCTCACGCCTGGAGGGAAGGAGAGAAGGTCCTTGTCTTTGGAAGGCTAGGGCAATGGCTTTAGCTCTGGGGCCAGCCACTCCACCCCTGGCCTCAGCACTCCTCTCTGTGGGATGGGGTGCCGCTCCCAGATCCTGCCGGTGCTCCCTGCCACCCTGCTGAGGATGAGGTCCCAGCCTCCCGCCGGTCTCTGTCCCCATGTCCTGCGGCCGCTGTATGATGGAGGACACAACTCCTCAGCTGGCCTCGCCTTTCGCCACAAACCTACAAGCTCTGAAAACATCCACTCTCCCCACCCCCACCCCCAAGTCTCAGGCTTCAGTGCCTTCCCCTTCCTGCTTTTCCATTCCAAAGCAGGGGTGTGTGTGTGCAGAGGCGGGTGGGGAATTTGGGCTGCGGAAGGAGGAAGCCAGGTATGGACTGATAGGCACCTCGCGGTCCGGCCATGGGGGGAGGGGTCTGCCCCCCTGCTTCCTCGGCAGCCCGCCGGCGGGACGGGGTTCTGGAAATCCTGCCCCCTCCTCCCACTGCTGCCTTCTGTCCCACGTGGCTCCCTGCCCAGATTCATGCCCAGCAGCCACAAACGGGGCTTTGTGTTCCCAAGACAAACAGCATAGTTCTTACCCCAACCTGGCCCAGCGCTCGCTCGCCCGCCTCGCGCCGATCTTGGCCACAGAAGGGATGGCGCTACTTCCCAGGAGGGGAAACTGAGGTCTAGCGAGGGAGAGGTGTGCGGAGCCAGAGCAGGAGTCTGCCTTCTGGTCTGGGGGCGAAGACAGAGAGGGGAAGTGGCAGGTCGGCCGCGATCACCTGCCACCCTCGGCACTGTGGGGAGGAAGGAAGTAAAAAATAACATGACTACTATCACATTGCAGATTCCTGCCTCGAGGGGAACTGAGTCCTATTTAACCTGCGGAGTGTGTGTTGAGTCTTTCTCGTGTGCCAAGCCGTGTGGGAGGTGAAGCATGAATCAGACATTGTCCCTGACATTTAGGAGATAAGACAGGCATGTAAATCACCATGAAACAAGAGGACAAGAGACCAAGGTCACAGAGCGGTGCCAATGGGCGGGGGTTGCAGGGTGGTCACTGTCGCCTTCCCAGCGGCCATCAGGGCTTCCTGGAGGCCGGGAGCCAGGCTGCAAAGCAAGAGCAGCGGTGCCTTCAGAAACCAGATGGAGCAAAAATTGTTTTTTGATTATAGAAGAAGTTTATGCCATGATGTCAAAGGAAGCCCTCCAGCTCTTCGCCTTGCCTGCTCCGCGTCTGCATACCACTTCCTACTCCTTCCTGCTGAGGGTGTCTTCTTTTTTTTTCTTAATTTTGTTTCTTTATTGATTTTTACAGAGAGAGGAAAGGAGAGGAAAGAGAGATAGAAACATCGATGAGAGAGAACATCAATTGGCTGCCTCCTGCATGCCCCCCACTGGGGATCAGGCCCACAGCCTGGGCATGTGCCCTGACCAGGAATCGAACGGGCGACCTCTTGGTGCATGGGTCGACGCTCAACCACTGAGCCACACCAGCTGGGCTCTTTTTTTTTTTTAATTCTCACCTGAGGATATTTTTCCATTTATCTCCGATGGAGTGGGAGGGAGAGAGAGAGAGAGAGAAAGAGAAAAAAAAAAAATTGATGTGAAAGAGACACATTGACTGGCTGCCTCCCGCATGACCCTGATGGGCCGGGGATGAACCAGCCCTTGACCAGAATCGAACCCGTGACTCATTGGTCCGTGGGTCGACGCTCTAACCACTGAGCAAAACTGGCCAGGGCTGAGAGTGTATTCTTTTCTGCACATTACTCTTGTCTGTTTCCTCACTTTACTGAGAGTTCATAAGAGCAGGGCTGTCCTATACCTCACTGTATCCCCACTGCCTAGAACATAGTACGTGCTCAAAACATATTGGTTGAGCCCAGCTGGTGTGGCTCAGTGGTTGAGCATGGACCCAGACACCAAGAGGTCGCCGGTTCGATTCCCGGTCAGGGCACATGCTCAGGTTGTTGGCCAAATCCCCAGTGGGGGGCATGCAGGAGGCGGCCGGTTGATGTTCTCTCTCATTGATGTTTCTATCTCTCTCTCCCTCTCCCTTCCTCTCTCTCTAAAATCAATGAAGAAAAATAAACATATTTGTTGAATAAAAAAATACTTGTATATAAATATACTATGGCATCAGGATCAGGGTATATATATAGTTGGGTATACTGTGTTTTCCCCTCTACTTATATGGCATTTGTACTTTTTTTTTGCATTTTCCCTGTCATTAAAGAGTCTTTGAGAAGATCTTTTTAACAGCTGTATAGTATTCCTTTACCTTGCCATTACATTGTCTTTACTTTCTTTCACCCCACCCCTTTTAGTCTTTATTTAATTGTATCTGTAGGACTTAAACAAGGAAATAGGTAGAAAAAGGAATGTAAAGGCTGTTCTGATGGAAGGAATTCGTAGGGAAAGGCAGTGTGGGATAGGTGTGGGGATATGAGTAAAATCCTAAGGGCATTGAACTCAGGAGTAGTGTCTAGAGGGCCATGTGGCCAGGAAACCTTGTGCCCAGTGCTGTGTTGTTAACTAACTCTCCAAAAAAAAAAAAAAAAATCATGGCATTTGCCAATTTCCACAGTGGATGTTTAGTTTCCATCACAGCATTGCTGAGCTTGGAGTTGGGAGGAGGGGCAGAGACTGCAGCACCCCTGCCCGTCCCTGCTCCGGGATGAGAAGCCTCTGGACTCCGTGTCCGTGAGCTCTCCCAGGCCCCAGGCCCAGCATCTCAGACGAAGGGAGGGCTCAGTCCCGGGCAGTGGGGCCCATCGGGGCGGCAGGAACTTTATCTTGGGATCTCTCCATCACAGGTCTCACCTGGATGCAAACTCCCCGATTCCCCCAGCTCAGCAGTCCGGAGCTGCACTGGCCACTGACGTGTGGCCGCTCCGTCCACCCCTGGAATTCGGGGCTGGGCCTGGCACCCTGCCGACCTCGGCGCTCGGCCACCCAGTGGGGCTCAGTGTCAGGCGCAGCGGTGGGCTCAGGACATCTCACAATGGCATGGCACTTACTGAGCCCTTGCTGTGTGCCAGGGTGTGTTAAACACTGGACATTTACTTCATCCCATCCTCACCCAGCCCATGAGGGGAGCGCTATTATTATCCCCAGATGAGGAAACTGAGGCACCGAGAAGATAACTCACTTGTCCAAGAACATCCAGTTCTTTTTTTTTCAATCCTCACCCAAGCATATTTTTTCATTTATCTTTGGGTAGAGTGGGAGGGAGGGAGAGGAAGGGAGAGAGAGAGAAACATCGATGTGAGAGGGACACATCGACTGGTTGCCTCCTGCACGGCCCCGACCAGGGCCAAGGACGAACCACAACCGAGGTACATGCCCTTGACCAGAATCGAACCCGTGACTCATTGGCCCGAGGGCCAACACTCTAGCCACTGAGCCAAACCGGCCAGGGCCAAGAACATCCAGTTCTTCAGTGTAGGTGCCAGGATTCACTCCGAGGCTGGCTGGATGCTAAAACCGCTGCTCCTAAATCCTGACTTCAGCATCTCCCCTGCTGAAGGCTTTCTGAGGCACCTGCTGTGTGCATCGCATGGTGCTGACTATGCAAGGGGTTGGCAGTGACCACGGGTTTGTCTTTAAGGATCTTAGCAGAAGAGGAATGGGAGGAGATCATCTCTTGAGCACCTACTGTGTGCCCGGATGATGCCACGTGCCACTGCTGTCTCAATGAATTCTCACAGCGATCCCGAGAGAACGGTGAGGCCCTTCCCACGTGACAGCCCAGGTCTGGGTGCTCATGAGCCTGCCCTCTGCTCTCGTGGCTGGGTGGCCTCCAACAGGTCACATACCTTCTGTGGGCCACCTTTCCCCCTTTGGGCCCTTAACAGAGGCTGTTCTAGGAGACCTCAGACTCTCTGCCAGTTTTGGGTCAAAGCTTCTCACAATAACAGGAAGTGGCCAGGCCATTCGGAAAGGTTGGGGATTCTGGCCACAGCCCCAGGAGAATGCAGGGTCAGATGCCAGAGATTGGACAGGTGGCAGAGCTGGCTCCCTAGAGGCCTGGCTGGCACAGTCCATAACCTTTGTAACTCCCCCTGGGGGCCTGGGAACGTGACTTCCTGCTCGGCTCGGGAAGGCAGGCTGATACGGCCGATGGCAGTTTGGCGGCAACCTAGGCGGACCCAGAACTAACCCCCCAGGTTCCATCTGGGGTCCCCAGGTGCTGGAGAACCTATGTGAAGTCTCTGCAAGATCTCAAAAGAAACAGGTTCCGCTGGAAGCTCCCACTGAGGTTGGAGGAGGAGAGCCAGGACACCTGTCTTGAAGCAGCACTTAGATAGCAAGTACCATTTTCTGCTGGTGAAGATCTGGGGTGGCTGATGATTATGGGGGCTGCTTTAAGTACCCCCTACCATTGTTCTGGATTCAACTCTGGATCACCCCTCATCTCCATCTGAAGGATGTTGCAATATTTCTAAGGCTTGGGTCCAGCCCTGCTAGACCCATTCCCCAGATGGGGTAACTGAGGCCCAGACTTTGGAAGTTGGAGGAGTCACCAGACAGTGGCCAACTGGGGAGAGAATTCCAGGGATCTGAACCCTTCATGAGACTGGCTGGGTGCTGAGTGGGAGTCAAGGAGGGAGATTGGGAGGCAGATCACTGGGCTACTCCTGTGGCTGGGCAAGGCCCTCCCAGTCCTGCCGGTCTGGGCGTTGGCTCCCACGTTCATTCAGCAGGGGACTTCCCACTGGTGCCCAGCCCTGGGCTGACCAGAGTGGCTCAGGCTCGGCACAAGCCCTTCTAAGAGCTCTTAAGCAGGTAAACAATGAACTCACTGAGAGAAATAGAGTGTGTAAGTATCTGCCCTGGAACAGGCCCTTCTGGTCATATTATCTCATTTAAAAATTGAAAAATGTCCAAACCTGGAGCTGTAGAAGCAGAGAGAAAGGGAAGAAACCTCTGCCTGGGGTGGGAGGGTATCCTGGAAGACTTCCCAGGAGAGGTGACATTTGAGCTATGCCTTGAAGGACAATAACAATAATAACATCCAACACTTTTTGAAGCTTCCCAAGTGCCTGTCGCTGTTCTGAGACATGTATCTGTTTCCCTCCTATCTGCTTTATCTGATCTAATTCCCTCCAGACCCCATGAGTGAGATACCATGTTCTCTTGGAACAGATGAGAAAACCAAACCAAGGCACAGACAGGTTGACTTGCCCAACACCACACAGCGACCAAGTGACAAGAGTCAGGATTTAAATCCAGAAAGTCAAACCAATAACTGACTGAGACCTGCCTGAAGTCATTTAATCGCTCGGAACCTCCGCTTCTTCATCCATAAAATGGGGTTAACAGTCCAATACTGCCTAGTGCATAGAGTTATTGTGAGAAGAAGATGAGATAAACCCGTAAATCGCTTAGAACAGTGCCTGGCACAAGTTAAGTGCTCAAACAATTGTAAATGACTTTTATCATCCTTGTAGTGTCTGTTCCCCTCCCCCTCTGTCCGCGGCTTCCTCCCCCGCAGTGCCAGCCCGTGACGTGGGTGCTGCGGCTCTCACAGTCTGGGTTTAATTGGAAACTAAGAGATGGAAGGGTGTGTTTGAGGCCCCTCCTCTGACTCTGAAAGGACCCCCAGGGAATGGGCGACTCTCTCTCGAGCGACACCTCCCGTCGGCCTGGGATACTGCTCCGGACAGGGCGGGGAGGTAGGACCGAGGCGGCGCCGGGATGGCAGGCGGGAGAGGGCCGGGAGATGTGAATGTGTGGGAGGGAGGACAGGCAGGGGACACACTACGCTTTCTGAGCCTAATGCCAACTCACCAGGAACCACTGGCCACGCCCATCATGGCCGTGGTCCACACCCCACCTGGCTCTCCCAGCTTCCGCGCCCTGGTCTCCGCGCCCGTGCGCTCCGCTGCGCTAGGCTGGGGTGCCAGCAGAGAGCGCGCGAGGTACCGGGGACCAGTGGGGACCCGGCGGGAGGCGGGATTGCCAGGAGGGCCCCGGGCCGCCCCCTTCCGCCCTCCGCCCGCCCTGCCCGCCCACCAGGAGCTCCAGACTAAGAGGCAAAAGCCGAGGGTGCTCCCTGCGCCTGCCTGCTCTGCGCACGGCTCCTACCTGTAGAGTCTGGGGGGGCGCCCTCTCCGCGGACACCGATCCTTTCTCCTCCTTCGAAAACCTCCCGCCCAGTTACCCAGGTCTCGGACAGGCGGCGCTGGGACCCCGGGACAGGGCGCCAGGCTCGCAGCTGGTGACATGTAGACTCCTTTCTGTACCCCCCTGCCGCCACCCCGTGGTCCAGCCTTGGAACCTGGGCGCCCTCTTGCCCAGAAAGTTTGGGGTTAGGCGCCATGGCCAAGATCAGCTCCCTGAATGTCCGCGTGGTGGAGGGCCGGGCGCTGCCCGCCAAGGACGTGTGAGTACTCCCGGGTGTATCGGGAGTGAGGGACGCTCGGGGCATGGGATGGGGTAGGGGTCGCCCATTCCGTGTGCCAGGAAGGGTCGGTGAAGTGGGCGGGGCGTTCCTAAGACCCTAAGACTCCGTATTGGGGCACACCTTCACGGGGCGACAGGCCCCATGCCCATCGCTGTACTGGTGGGAGGGGGCGCCCAGACTTAACAGATGCCCCGCCCTGTCCCCTCTCCCCCGCCAAGAGGGGATGACTGTTCCTGGGATGTACTAAAGGGAGTCTTCCAGAGCTTCAGCCCTGGAGATTGGAGGGTCGGATTCTGTGGGAGCTGGGAAGGGGTATGGGGTGGTGTCTCTTCCCTAGTCCAGGCAGGTGTCCGAAGTGGGGCTTCTCCAGGCTTGGGTGGGCTCCTATTAACAGAACCCTGGGGAGGAGCCCCAGAAGGCTGGGGATTCAGGGGGCCCCAGCATTCCTCTGTGTGCATCTGGGATTTCGGTTTGCAGAGTGCCACTGGATGGCCAGCTGGCCAGCCTTGGGGGAAACTGGGGTCCTTTTGCCCCAGAGCTCTGAGCTCCCCAGCCAGTAGCTCCCAGCCCAGTATGGGCCTCCGCTGGATGCTGAGTGGCTTGAAGAGCTAAACCCCTCTCTGCAGCTCCTTCCCAGCCAGGTGTGATGGGGCTGGAATCCCCTTGCCCCCCCCTCAGTACCAGTCCTTGGCTGTGCTTCCCCTGGGGCTGAGTCAGCAGTTGCCAAATAAGCAGAATGGTGGGAGGGGTCTCCCTCCTGCCTGGCCTGGAGCCCAGAAGGGGGTCTGAGGGTGTCAGCACCTGGAATAGGTATGGGATCCTTGGCAGGACATCGGCTGTTTGACCTTGAACCTGGTTCTTTCTGGGTCTCAATCTTCCATCTGTGCAATGGGAGCTCTGGACAGGGTCTTCGAGCCCTGTGCAGCCGTGAGGGTGGAGAACTGTTAGGACTTACCCCAGGGCCAAGGAAAGCAGGAACCTGAGCCTCTGCACACATTGAGGATGGGGTTTAGCTCTGCCCTAACTCCCCCTGCTGTGGGCCTCCAGCAAGGAGTATCCCGCCTTTGATTTCATGACCAGCCCCCTTCCCAACACTGCAGCTGTGTCAAGGGGGGAGCTGCTAGAGCTCCCGCCATCCTCATCAGCTAATGGAATAAACACCCCGCAGTCGATGGAGGCAGAGAGCTTACTGTGCAAATGCACCATTTGGACAAGCCCCTGCCTCCCTCTTTCTTTTCTTTTTCTCTTTTGGTTAATCCTCACCCAAGGATATTTTTTTCCATTGATTTTTTAGAGAGAGTGGAAGAGAGGGAGGGAGTGGGAGAGAGAGACACACACATTGATGGGAGAGAGACACATTGATTGGTTGCCTCCCACACCAACCGGGGCCTGGGTGGAACCTGCAACCCAGGTACGTGCCCTTGACCGGGAATCAAACCCTTGACCCTTCGGTGAGCAGGCCAGTGCTCTAACCACTGAGACGCGGCCAGGGTGCCTCCCTCTTTCAGTGGTGTCCTTTCTGGGTCCCCGAGAATGAGAGATTCTGGAACTGTTGGGGCAGTGAAGCCGGAGGAAGGGGTCTGGCGGCTGATGGAGGGCTGAGGGGGGGCCCTTCTAGAAACCAGGTTTCCATCTCAGCGTGCTCTGCCCCCCCCCCATTCCTGCTGAGGGCGTGAGGGAGCTCTCTCTGCTTCTCCTGGGGAGGGAGTTGAATCATGCCTGGTTCCCATGCCATCCCTTCTCCCCCATGTTCCTGGGCCAAGGTGAGCTCTGGGGTGGGCCACACCCAAGAGCATGGGTAGGGAGTCACTAAGCCCCAGTTGGGATCTAGCCACCCTGCCTCAGTTTCCCTAGCTGTTGGCTCCCTTCTTCAGAGGGGCTTTCTCAGAGCATGCTGGGATCTTCCCCTCTGTGGGGGCTCTTAGATAGGGTGTGTCCTCTCTCCCCTCTCCTAAGGAAAGGGTCTGGGTTCTTCCTGAAGCCTCACCAGATTTAGGGGGGTTGGACCTGGCCTCAGAGGAAGACTCGGTGACAACTTTTAGTTATTAGTATCGTGAATAATAACAGCCAGGTCTCGAGCTTAACACTTCCTATGGTCCTACTAGCATTTCCATTTTACAAATGGGGAAACCGAGGCCCAGAGGGGAAAAGTCACTTGCCTAAGGTCACGCAGCTGGGGTCTGAAAACTGACTGGTCCAATGCACAAACCAGACGGGGCAGGCATCAGCCGAGGGGCCTGCTTTCCCACGCCGAGGCGGGGCCAGGGCCGTGGGAGAGGCCAGGCTGGGAGAGACTGCGGTCCGGAGGGGTGGCCCCCTCCCGCCACCCTCGCCCCTACCTGATAGGAGCCTGATAAGGCCCCTGTGCGTCAGAGCCCTGCTGACGTGTGAGCCTGGCTCCCATGAGGGGCTGGAGGTCAGGTGGGGTCCACAGGAGGGGGCGTGTCTCCCAGCCCTTTGCTGGTGGGATCCCAGCCCACACCCGCAGTTGGGGAAACTGAGGAATGGGAGCCTGTCTTAAAGAAGCTCAGGCATAGAGAACCCAGAGAGAGAAATGAGGTGTAGGGGGTCACCCAGCCAAGGGCTTCCGGGGGGAGGAGCTGGGTGGGGAAACTGAGGCTCCTGGGGTTACTCAGCCCAGTGGGCCAGAAGAGGAAACCGAGGCCCAGAGCACTACACAGCGGGGGGTCAGAGGTGAGACTCTAGAGAGGAGCACAGGCCACTGTCCAGTCTGAGGTGTTCAGAGTTGGGGACCAGAAGGGAAATGAAGGCACTGGAGCACCCAGCAGAGGGGGCTAAGGGAAGGAGTTGAGAGAGGAAACTGAGGCACAGGGAGGGCTCAACCAGAGACAAGCTGGACTGAGCTTGGTGAAGACAGAAGGCCTGTGTGATGAGACAAGGGGCCGAGCTGGGGTGGACTGTAACAGAATGAAGGGGGATGGAGCTGGCTTTGGTTGGCGGATGGTTCATGGGTACTGCAGGGGAAGGAGCACATTTGCCCTGTTGGTTGAGTTTTGAGGTCTAGGTGCCCTGGTCTGTGCCTGCAGTGAGTCTTCTGAGGTCCATACCTGCTGAAGGCCCAGCAACCCAGGGAAATTGCATTGCAATGAAAAGCTGGAGAGGGCAACGCTCATCCCGGAGGGAGGTGTTCTGGGCCCCGGGGGAGAGTTGGGGGTTAGCCTGTGATGCCTCCCACCATGTATTGTCTTTTTTAGTTCCTCCATCTGCCCTAGGAGGTGTGTGTTAATATTATGCCCATTTATAGAGCAGAGGAGCTGAGGTCCACAGAGGGGCCAGGGTTCCACAGCCAGAGGGGGAAAGCCAGGGGGGACTCCCCAGCACGCACCCTTGACCTCTGCTTTGGGCTTCCTGGGACTGACTGAACTTTCTTGCTTTGTGCCTAATGTTCTACTTTTGTGGGTGGACACCCAGGGAGCCCAAGCGTGGTGGGTCGGGGTCGCAGCGGGTGGGCTGTGCAGCCATGGACATCTGCTGGTCCCCTGAGGTCCTGCCTCGTAGCTAGACTTGCTGTGTGACCCTGGGCAAGTCTCCTCCTCTCTCTGGGCTTCAGTTGCGCCTCTCTGTATAATGAAGGTGGACTTGGGTCCATACCCAGGACTGCCTCTCAGACCCCCTCCCCAAACCTCCTCCTTCCACAGGTCTGGGAGCAGTGACCCCTACTGCATAGTGAAAGTGGACGACGAGGTGGTGGCCAGGTGAGGAGAGGAGAGCCTGGGCCTGGGGCCAAGCGAGCAGGGCAGGGGGAGGGGAGGGGCTCCTTCTAGACCTGGGGAGTCCAGGCGCAAGAATCCACAGGGAAAGAGGAGCTGGGGAGGGTGATGCTCACCCCAGGGGTGGACCTGCGGGCCTGATGGTGGGCGCTTTGTAACCCTGGCATCAGCGCGGGACAGCTGGGGCCACCAGGTCCTCTCCCCATTCAGCCCCACTGGTCCACACCTTCCTCTTGGACTTGATGATGTCCCTGCTGGCTCCCTGGGGCTGAATCAGCGGCTGCCAGCCTGTGCCTCCCATGGTGGCCTCCCTGGGGGCGGGCACCTCACGCTTGGCTGGGCTGGCTGGTTCCGGGGCTGCATGCTGGGTGCTGCGGGCACCAGGGTGTGTGTGCGCGTGTGTGCCCAGCTGGGCCTGCTTGTGAGTGTTCATGGGGGTGTTGGAGGGCTGGTGTCCAGATGTGCATATCCCTGTGGGTGTGCAGGCTCACAGTATCCCTTTGTGTACCAGTGCGTGGTCTGTGTGCATGTGTGGATGTGTGTGCACACACATGGGCTGCCCTGTACATATGTGCGCCATTGCCTGCTTATTTGGGTACACAGGCTCCAATGTGACCACGTGAAGATGTGAGGGTGTTTGGTGTGTGAGTCTAAGCGGGGGGACTTTGGGCTGGGT